CTCTGAAGCTTTAACCTCGCTGCTGATAAGATGGTTTGTTTTTCTGTCTGCTTACAGGATGGTTATTGTTTATTTAAAATGAGACCAGAAGAAGACAAGATTTTTTTTTTACTTTTCCCTGTTGGCCTAGTCTGCGCTGAAACTGTGACCCCAAAACAGACATACCCCTAATAATGAGCCAATGGAAACTGAAACTGTTTTCCTTGCTTCAAGTTGTTTTTAGATTATAGCCTGGCTTAAATAGTTTTGCATATCTTTTCTTGCATGATAAACTCAATGTGTTTGACAAAAGTTTGATAAGTTCTGACTCAATGCTCACTGCAGCTTTAGCTATGCATTATTGTTCATCCACCCAGATCCAGCAGGACCCTCTGCTTGATTTAGTGGGGGCTGTCAACACCTCAGACGTTTGAAGTGATGAGGTATGTTTGGGTAGCGTAGCTGGCACCCAACGCTCTGAACTGGGCTCCTCCCCTATGTTCCGGTCCTGCAGAGGACACGGTTATTTCTGGGCATCAAGGTTAGGCAGGGTGGCATTTGAGACTTATGTCCAGGCGGAGCAATCAGAACACAGTGGATGTTTTCTGCTTTTTAACAGGCCCGTAGGAATAATCTGTGCTGTGGAAATGACTGTGAATAAGTTCTGCTATGCTCGCCTGATTATATGGATGTTTTTTTTCTGCCGAGTCAGCTGTTTGTTTTGGATGTACTGGACTGAACTGATGGCAGACGCATGAGCTGAACTGGTTGGTGTGTCAAGTTTGTTGACATCCACTTTCATACGGCACCTTTTCTTCTTGTCACTTTATTTTTCTCCAGTTTCAGTTCAGTAGAAAATAATGACACAATCACTTTTTTTATTGTGTGAAATGGATCTTCTAAGAGGTGATCACTGTCAGTTTTAGATTTTATAAATCAGAACTGTATCTAAGTGTAGCTCAGTAGATGCATGGAATTTGCAGCTTAGTATTTAATTTTAGCACCTTTATTATTTTGGGTCACGTTTTTTATATGTGTGTGTGTTTAGGAGTCACGTATCATTTATCTGTGCAGTAGGAGGCTTAGCTGCGTTTCAGTTTAATATTTTTGTGTCACTGCCGCAAATTCCTGTGTGGAAAATAAAAACAGTTGCACATCCTTTGAGCACATTGTTACGAAGGCTGGCACAAACCTTGAGCCGGTAACAGTTTCAGGATGTGGGACTAAACAGGAAATATTAATGAGCAATTCCTGATTTCATTACAGAAAATTTAAAGCTTCATCATCTTTAAGCTTTCTGCACAAGCACCTGTTAAATTCTTTAAAATATGTTCGGATAAAAATAATACCAACACCAAATTTGTCAGTTTTTTAAAAATTATTTATTTTTTAAATTTTCATTCAGTAGTGACTTGTAATGAAAAGTGAAATCACAGTTTGTATTGCCCAAACACGACTCTGGCTCCTGCTGGCGTCTAGCAACAACAAACATCCGCGTGGACTCTTATAACAGGGCTATTCAACTGGCGGCCCGTGGGCAACATCCAGCCCGCGAGTGACCGAAGTTCGGGCCGCTAATTGGTCCATTCATCTCTTAAGCCCAAACCCCCGGTATTCGACTTTAATTACTCAAAGTTATTTTAGTTAAATCTAGATGAATTTGGTGTCTACAGAAACATCAGAACCTTGGCTACAAGCTGGTAAAAACCATTTTTATGAACATCCAAGACAGTTAAAACTACAAGCAGTTGAAGATAAAACTATGAAAGTGAAAATAAAATTGGTATAAAAATTTTTCAAGTCAGAGATGTCAAAATATTTTGTGGTAACTAAGAGGCATAATATGTTTTTTTGTTTGTTTTATTATCACTACATTTATTAAATAGGGTTCTGTATGTTTTCATGATTAAATACAGCAAAATAAACTATTTCAAAGGTAACAGATCTTTGTAATACTTATTTATTTACATAACTTTAATTGCTGGAGATTCGGCCCCTGAGCTGTTGGTCTGCATTAACTGTGGCCTCCGAAGCAATTTATTTGAATAGCCCTGCTTTATGAGATAAATGTGTCAGCTAGGACTCATAGAAGCTAAGTAATCCTGTTGTGTGTAGACAGTTGGTCATTAGTGGCTGAATAAAGACAGCCTATTGCTTTACACTGGATAAATCTTTTTGTCATGTGTCCAAAATCAAGAATCAGAGAATCAGTCATAAACAGACATCAATTTGAATGATTTGATTAACAATGCAGAATTTATTTATTATTAATTTTCTCTGATGTTTCTCATTCATTGACAGCTGAAGTGTAGTTTTATTGTTTAATTTGCCAACTTGTACTATTTTATTACTCATACACATCATTGTACACACATATAAGACATTCCGTTAAATATGTATGTAAACTAGGGAACATTGGTTTTATTTCTATTCACTTCTCAAGACACGCTGGAACTGTTTTTCTCTTTCTGTACTTACCCAAACAGAGGTAAGGGATATTTCAGCCCTTTCAGAATGGACAAACTGGTTACTATGAACAATGTTATCTCTCTTTCTTGACCCAAACAAGACCATGAATGGAAACGTTTCATAAATTTTTACATTGCAGTCAGTTTACAGTTATTTACACAGAATTCAGTGTTTTTGCTTGGACAGATAGCTTTAGCAGCTCACTATAGCAGTTTGAGTTTAATTTATGTAATTTTCACCAAGAGAACCATATATGTCTGTGTGACATTAAAGTAATTTTTCATAAAACAGTGTTCTAATAAACTGGAACAAAGTTTTTGTTACCAGACTTTACTTTGCATCATTTTAGGGATGCACTGAAATGAAAATTTCAGCCGATATCGATATCTAATATTCATATTGGTTTTATGGATGATAACCAATATTTACAGATATTACACAAACACACAAATTATTTTATTCATATGTCTATGCACAAACACACTCGTGTTTTTATTTTATTTTATTTATTTTTGATATCATAAAAACAACCAGACCACTGCCTCTTTACTTCAGTTATTCCTGGCTGTGCAGTGTCACTAACACTATCATGATCAAACAGATAACACTTGACCAAACATCTCCCCTCCTGAAACAGAAAGACAAATGGCAACAAGCTGAAAATCAATATTAGACGTTAATATGGGCCCAGTTTTACTTATTGGATCACTGCCAGTGTTAATGCCAATATATCGTGCATCCCTACTTTATTTTATTTTATACATGTAGATTCCAGTCAGCTGTCTATAAACCGGAGAAAAAATATTAGCCACCATTAAAAAAAAACAATTGTTTGAATTCACAAATTTTATATTGATAGATCTGAATTCATCAATCTATAAATGATTATATCTGGTTAATAGATCAAAATTAATGCAATATATTTCATTTATTAGCAGAGTTTTTCTTCATTCTGTTTAAAATTTAAATCCACTTTTGTTCTCTATGAAAGAAAAGTGTGACTGATTAACTGAATTTTATCATTTGTAAATGATGGCAGTTATTTTTTTAAACTGTAAGAGAGTCTCTTAATATGTGTTTCCCTTCAGCAGTGTAAGAATAATGTTTAGATGTTATTTTAGTGCTGACGTAAGAGGTACCGCCCCCAGGGGTGTGCCCAAGGTATTCTATAAATATTATGGTTTGCAAAGGCCATGTAGGACTCAACATCAGCAGAAGCAAAGTTAGAAGTCATTTTGATTAGTCTCAGGGCCACAAACACAGGCTCTGATGAAATGAAGTTTTTAGATCAGGAAATAAACATTCAGTACGTTTACATGGACATAAGTAATCGGATTAAACGGTCGTTCGGAATAAAAATGCGTCATGTAAACAGCCCGTTCGGATTATTCTGATCCGATTGAGCTCGATCCGAATGAATTTTTAATCTGAATGAAAGGGGTGGGTTATGCCGATTGATAATCGGAATGACGTGCATGTAAACACTTATTCGGATCATCTTATTCTGATTGTAGAAAACTGAACTGAGTGCGCATGTCTGCTGACTTTCATTCACCCAGATCTGCTCTTAAGAGGAGGTGGGACAGCAGTGCTGTGCTGCGCCGCGCAGAACTTTTCCTCCACGCACTCTTAACAGATGAAAAAGGAGACAAACAGCAGACGTTGCTTCGCCAAAAATAAAAATAAAAAACACGTATTGCCTCATCTGCAGCTCAACCGAGGAGTAACGACGTCTCTACCCTCTACCGTTATTAAAAGCTGACACGGGTCCATCCTGAAGAAGAGCTTTGTTTACGGTTGTAACACAGAAGTAGAGCTGAAAGTTTACAGCACTGCACATGTCCGGACTTTTATTCTGAATAAAAGTCCAGTGCATGTAAACACTTTTCATAATCAGATTGTGTCCATGTAAACAGTACATTCGGATTATTTAATCCGAATACATTTCAATCCAATCAAAAAATTTTGTGCATGTAAACATAGCTAATAACTGAGAACTGGCTTTAGGTTTCCTGCACATTTTTTGGGCTTCCATTTTTTTTAACATTGTCTAACACCTTGATCCCATTTTTTTATATAATTTAGGTCTCTGTTGTGCTGCTGATGTTACACAGTCAATATTTAATTAGATAGATGTAGCAACCGTTGTTTAGATATAGTTAAAGGATCTGTGGTAAACTTGTTGCTTAACTTGTTTTCCTGTCCTTTTTTTTTCTCCATAGATAAATCAAGCTGGTGTGCAAATGGTGACTGTTAGAGAAGTTTCTAATCTGGGACATTTTTTCCCTAAACCCACTCTGTGCTGACAAGGATTTTCCTACAAGGATCTGGATGGTCTACCTCCACACGCCTTTTTATCTACCTCATATCTCGTCCACTCATGCTACCTCAGCTCATGTTGTGTTAAAGTTATCATCCGGCAGCTCAGAAGGACAAGCAGATCCTACACTATCACCAGGTCCCTGGTATCAGTCGACCTGTCCTGTGTATTACAGTTAACCAGCACTCTTTATCAGTATCGTAAACTCCTGAGCAGAATGGCATTCCTATAGGAGCCATGTTGCGCCCAGGTTTGTGATGTCCGAGCTCTGCAACGGACCAGGACCAGTGGAAGAACAGGGGCGGAGTCGCAGAGACGTTCCCCGGTTTGTGATTGGGTGTGAAGATGATGAGCAAGACATGGACCAAATGGATGCTGGTATGAAGAAAGAGACATTTCGGGAAGAAAACATGGAGGATGATGATGAAAATGAGTCGGTAAGTAACGGGTGCAAACTGATGAGATCCGTGTGTATAAGTTAGCTTTACTACTACATTGCACATTTTTAAATTCAACATTTATATTTTAAAGTGACCAATATTGATGAAGATTCAGTGCAGCTTTACACAAATAAACATAACTAACAATTATTCATAATTGACATAAACTGTTGGTCATTTTGTAGCCTGAGAAGTAAACAAGCCAGAACACAAAAACAGGAAAGGTCTAATTGAAACTGGAGAAGGGGAAAACGATATGGAGTGGATAAATAATCATATTGAATACACATGCTATTAGGTAATCTGTTCATTTTTTATTGTTTTTTTCTTTCATTGTAATGAAAAAACAACAATCTCATCAACAAAAGGCAAATTATAGGCTGTAATATTATAAAAATCTGTTTTAAAATATATATTTTTTAGGATAAGAAGCAATAAATGGTTCTTTTTTTAACATGCCATGTGTGATGCAGTTTTACAAGAATTGTGGCATTTAAAAAAAAAAAAAAAAGAATGAAACCCAACTTCTGATGAAAGTTCACAGCTGTGCCTCAGGCTTGGGGAGGAAAAAAAACTCAATAATCCCCAAAAATGTTACAGAAAAGATTTAAATCTTGTTAAAGGACAAAAACTGATTCAAAGTTTTCTCCCAAGTAAAGGTCACTCTGTAGCTTACATTAAAATGGTCTAATGTGTGCAGTGGTCATTTTAGGAGAAACTTAGGCTTTGTGTACTCTACTCTGGAAACTTTTTAAACAGGTATTTTTTCTCTGTTTATATGATAATCAGTTTATATCAAATACCATTGATGTCATAGATTTCTTTTTCAAGGCAGGTCTGGGCTTGAAGGCAACCTAAAGTTCATGTTTATGGACTTGTAGAAAACAGGAGTACCCAAAAAAGCCTGTACATGTGTTTTCTTCAAGAACTCTGTGACAGATGGATAGCTCCTATAAAAAGAAGTACATCTAGAGCTGGAAAATATTTGTAATGGGTTGAATGGATACTGTAATTTGACCTAAGGAGTGAATGTGTGTACATTTTCTTTTCTGTCATTTCCTATAAGGAAATGCTTAATTTGTTTTTTTTCTGCCCTCGCCTCCTCTAAATACCTTACTATGCTTTTGTTTAGTAACAGTAATTATTTTTACAATCACCTAAAAAAACTTTTTGAACTTTTTTGATGCAAATAAATTTGATAATTAAAACCTTGTTCTTTTAATTATTTCATCATTTATTTTCCTCAGATTGTTGGTATTGTTGCACATAATACCTTTACTGAAACATCTAAAACTTACCTTATTTGATGATACTACTATAAGTGAAATTATGAGGTTTCTTACATTGTACCTACGTGATTCAGTCACTAACACTCGTGTCTTTTCCTCTAGCTGTCAGAGCGACAGATTGTTGTGGGCATATGTTCAATGATGAAGAAGTCCAAATCAAAACCCATGACTCAGATCTTGGAGAGACTTTGTAAGTTTGACTACATTGATGTGGTCATCTTTCCTGAGGAGGTGATTCTGGAGGAACCAGTGGAGAAATGGCCAGTCTGTGACTGTCTCATCTCATTCCATTCAAAAGGTAAGATCAACAAGTGAATCTGTATCTATTAGGGTATCTGTTGCTTTCTGAGCTTTACCCACAACAATAATATGAAGTCTATTTGCACGTTTGATCCTGTTAGGTATTTGAATGATGGCTGATGCACTAAAACAATGATTGCTTTAAGTAACTTCTGCTAAAGATGGAATTAGACCTGTGGACATACACTCACCGTGATAGTGTAGGATCTGCTTGTCCTTCTGAGTGTATATATACAAATTAAGTGTATATATACACTCACCGGCCACTTTATTAGGTACACCTGTCCAACTGCTCGTTAACACTTAATTTCTAATCAGCCAATCACATGGCGGCAACTCAGTGCATTTATGGTGCGTTCACACCGAACGCGATTTCAGCTTCAAAATCGCAGCCAACGCTGAAGTTTGAAGCTTGTGC